AAAAATGCTCCATTGAGAGACACGCTTTCTTACTTAAAGCTTATTGGTTAAATGTTTGCTTACACTGCAGTGTCATTTGGAGGTTGACGTAAAATACAGTAAACTGTTTACTGTAATTTAACCTATTGTATAATAACTACTGATTTCATACATTTTATAGCTCAAAGATTATTACATCTGTTCATGGGTAGTAAGTAGATCGGTCACTCTGTACTTGAGTAGCCTTTTTACCAAATACTTTTTTACTCTTGCTTGAGTAATTTCTTTAAAGACTACTTTTTACTTTTACTTAAGTAAAATGTTTGGGTACCCTACCCACGTTTGGCTCTAGGGCAGCTGTGGCCACAATGTATCAGAGAGCATTGGATTCATTACCAGTTATGCAGATGATATTCAGCTTTTTGTCCATAATTCTGGATACGTGTTAACACTAACAACAGTACCATTAGTATAACAAATATTCAACAAAAAAGGTAGTGAAATCAAATACTTATTTAAAACTTTAGGTTGATTTTCTGCATACTCTTAAAGCGAAATATAAAATTTGACATGATAATGCACTTGGCCTTATGGTCAGTTATAACTGGAACTCTCCACCACCCCAACTTCGAAATACGGACTCAATTCTCCATTTTAAAATGCAACTCAAAACCCATCTGTTCAAGATTACTTATTCTCTTTAAAAATATCAATTTCACTGTCACAGCCTCTGTATTTTAAATTTTTTTTTAAATGTCTTTATAATTATTATTTTTATTTTTTCTGACACTTTTTATGCTTTTGTACAGTGACCTTGAGTGTCCAGAAAGGCGGCTTTTTAAATAAAATGTATTATTATTATTATTATTCACTCAGCATGCTTTTATTCTGAAATATTAATATTGGTTGTGATTATTTGGAAATTTTCTTCAGATTGTTTCCTAAGCCGATTTATTTACCAGAATTAATATTTTCCTACAAATTATTTAATAGAAAATCATTCTTTTTATACTAGTTAAAGTATTTATTTTATTACTTATACCGTTTTAAATTGTAACTTGAAACCAGTTTTCTCAGTGAAAAAAAAAATAAAAAATTACATCAAACATTAAATGTTAGTAATACTAGCTTTAAAAATGTTGAAAGTTGACAAATTCAAGTTCCAATTTTGTACTAAATATTTTTCCTTGTTGCAGAATTCATATTTTTTCAAAAGGATTGGAATTGGGCTGTTCTGACTGCCATGAAAAAGTCACGTATGAATCGCATTTTCCTGTACATAGTCAAACTATGATAAAACAACCATGGTTAACTGCTAAAGTTGCTAATCTTATAGCCACCTAAACATGCATACACAGTCCAAATTCTCCTATGTACCCTAATTGGGTATAAAAAAAAGGTTAGACAGAGCTCTATTTGTTTTGTTTTTTTTCTCCTGCTGCAAATTAAATGAACTCGAATTTAAACACAATTTGAAACTTTTACCTACAGTATGTAAAATACCAGGTTATGATTCCTTTATTAAAACCAGGGTTGGTTAGCAGTTGTTCATTCTGGGTTAGCTGTGGTTTGCCGATTAACACAGACAACACAGACATACAGTATGCTGTTCCTGCTCCCCTCCTGTTGATGTAGAACAGTTTATTATGATAACAGGAGGGATCCCTAATTACTAAGTGAAAGTGGAGTTCAGAGCGATCCATAAATAGCATCAGAAACTTGTTGCTGGTGGGAGTGTTCACATGTTTGCAGATGTTTGCCTCTGCTCTCTCATTTAGCCAGAGAGAACTTACCACATCAGGACTTTTCATCTAACCTATAGTTTTCTCTTTCTCTGATTATGTTGTATTAATAAGTCAAACTTTTTTTTTTCTTAACTAGATGTTCCTCCTAGTGCATTGTTCTTAATTTCACAATTTTGTTGAGGGTATTAAAAAAATTATATTAAAAAAAATATTATATTATTATATAATTATCTATATCAATTCAAATATGCCCTTTAAGAGTGACTTTCTGTCATGATTTGAGGTTAAATATTTCTAGTCTTAATTTTATGGGGTTAATTTGGAATCATAAAGTTTTGTCAAAAATATTGTTTATATAACTGGAAAAATAAAAAGATTTGAAACGTATTTTTTCTGTTTCAGATTTGTTTTTTTAGTTTGAGACTGCTGGTCCCTCCATGAGGAGGCGGGACTTAGATGACAGATTCCCTAGACTCCTGAACAAAATATTGCCAGGTGTTGTATTCAGAAACCATGAATGCAAAACTAGCAATGCATGTCATTTCATATCCTAAACAGAATACTGAGGTTGTTTTAAAGACATTTCTAGTTTCTACCTGAGAAAATTTCTTTCAGGAACCTGAGCTGTTACTCATCATTCTATAACCCATGTCATAAAAGTCCAGCCGTCACACTGGGGGGGCACTAGTTTAAATAAAAAAACAAACAAGTAAACTTGAATATACAAAGCAGTTTTAAACATTTCTTTTCTGAAATCCTTTTTTGTTTGTTTCTTAAGTTCAAATACTATTTAGTTTTATTTTCTAGTTTTAAAAGCAATGTTTTTGAATACACTTTATGACCCCAATTTAGCTCCATATAGTTTTCTTGTTTTTTCTGAGTTTCGAGTTTTGGTTTAAACTCCATATTACTCTGCATAC